GCAAGTTTGGGCCTGTTGCGCTTTTCCATCCCCCACCATCACATTCCTCACAGGTATTCCCAGACGACCCCTTGAAACACCACCCTAAGCACATAGCTCACTCTCTGTGAGCCCACCTCTGCTAAGGCACATCTGGAAGCTGAATTCCGAGCTGCCATTTTCAGCATTGCAGCGATGTGAATAAGGCACTGTATTCACCCCCCCCCCGAGGGCCATGAAAAGCTTTCACATAGTTACAGATACTCTCTGTTACACCTTTGTAGCCTTTTGAGTTGAATTTAGCTCCTCCATCATCCTGATCCAGTATAACTGCATGTGCTATTCAACACCAGTGTGCTTTCATTACCATTTCAGATTTGGCATCTAATGTTCCAAATAGGAATAATGATTAAAACAAGGGTGAAAAAAGGAACTCGTGGCTGATAATGGCATTTGATGGGCTTCAGTCCACATACACTCAATATGTGGTATCAACTGTCAGGCAATTACATAGAAACATGCCTGAGCCACATTGTGTTCTCCAGGATTCCTATGTCTTTCTAATTGTAACTTGGCAGCTTTTTGTAGAATGTGATCTAAGAGAAACATCTCAGAAACTACCTTTTCTAAATACTTATCAAAGGGTAAACAAAGGTTGAATAAAGCTTGACCATCTTGTACAGATGTTTAGTTTTGGGTGGATGTGTTTTTAGGAATGATAATCAAACAGAGGCTGAGCTGAGATCCGTCAGCTTACTATGTATTACTAACCTTCCCTTGCCTCCATAAACTACCATTTACACCCAAATACTTTAGAAAGATGAAGTTATAATTAGTGTTTTGTGAGACAGTCACATGGCAAATTTGGAAGGTATGTGCGCATACGAGTCTTTGAGATACAGCCAAGGGAAAAAAAAGAGGCAAGTTACTGTAATTGCCCCCAATCTAGCTCAGTCATAAATTAAATACCTGTGATTGACATTCTGTGCCACTATCTACAAGCTTTCTTATAAAAAAAAAATCAAGAAAAAATAAATAAATAATTAAACAATAAATACAATAATTAAAATAAATAAGTAAATTATTAAAAAATTATAAAATAAAATTATATCCACACTGTGAATTCTGTATATGAAAGATAAAATAAATACAAAATAAATAATTAAATTAACAAAACTAAATTAAACTAAAATGAAAAATAAAATACACACTATGAATTCTGTATATGCATACAGGGGCTAGCTGCGGTTATTTTTTTGCCCAGTGACTATATAGTGCAAGATTATACTATAGGCCTATAGTGTAAGTTTGAGCAGACGTTATTTGGACATCTATTCCTTAAATGGCACATTTCTAGAGTTCAAGGTCTAAAGTTTCTGGAGTTCAAGGTCAATTTGTGTCATGCTGAGTGACGTACACAAAAATTCATAACTTAACTTGGCAGTCCAATTTTTTTCTCCTCAGTAGTGTTCATATACACATACATAGACTCAGTACATAGATATTTCATACAGGCCTTCAAGCTTAGCCTCCCTTATCCCACAAGGCTTTACCAGGGGCCCTATATCTCGTCAATCTTTATTCTATGACTCCTATAATGCTGTGAGGAATGCACTGTATAAGCTGAAAAAGCAAAGAAAACCATCGTCCTTTGTTTTTATGTAGGCTAGACTTTAGTGAATCAGTACCAGGAATCAACACAATATCATCACATGATCCTGGATCTGCTTGATCAAAAATGTACCCTCAAGATACAGCATGCAGTCAGTCTCAAATTACACAACAGGAAGGTTAAGGCCAGTTCTTCTGGACATATTTTGCCTTTCCCTCATTTCCACACATTCACATTTACAGGAAATGCATCCGTCATCACCCTCTGAACAGCCTCACATCACCAAAGTTCATGCCTACAATTAAACTTCTACTGATAAGAAATGGATGACTGCTTTTCACAGTCACTCGACCACAAACAGCCATATAAAAGAACGAAGGATCTCACTATACATCCTACAACATTCCAAGAGGCGTTTTCCTCAGAATGTACAGCGGTTCTGTCTATCTTCACTCAAGCACATGGAGGCACACTGATCTCTTGTTCGGAAATGACCTTATTGACTGGTTTGAGGTGAAGCTGAAAGAATGTAATGTCCCTCTTGTGGCATCTTCTACTAGGAATCACATGGCCTGGGTATAAATCTGAGAAAACTGTAGAGGCCAACACTAAGAACACTACGTCTTTACACTTAAAGTGACATGGACGGTGATGATCCCATCTACTAGTTAAATCCAATTTTGCCTGTCTCAAGTCATAGTACTTTTCAAGAGCTTAATAAAAGTTAGGTGTAACTGACAGAAATCAAGGCATGTCAAGTGATTTTGTTTAACGCATTGACAAAATGTTGAGCACTGTACTATTTCAGCTCTAGAAGGAACACACCCAGTGAACATGTTTACTGCTTAGCAAAAGACACCTCAATCTTCCCTGTCATCATGTGTAATTGCCAGTCTTCTTAAGAATTAGTTTTTGCTGAAGCATCTACCAGAAAAACTGCTTCACAACATTATGAAGGCAGCAAAAGCGCTTCCTCAGACAGTATTTAGCCGACAACTGTTTCCACGCAGCACGCAAATATAATAATAGATGGTGCTTTATTCTGAGTGCTTGAACTAATTTGTTTTTCCTCTTCACATCAGCACCTGTCTAAACACTGAGAGAAACTATTGTTCTCCAGTCCCCGCTGTGTCCGTCCATGACGGATCTATTGGAAAGGGTGCCTCTCTTCCTCAGAAATGTGTGTCAGATTCAATAGTGGACACGGC